TGGATTCTCCCAGTGCTGAATTTAAGACCCCAAAATGCTTCAGGTTTTACCATCTTAAACTCACTATTTATCTTGAGGCTGACTTAATTAAAATATTATATACTCTGGGGCATATTAAACATGGCAATTTATTGTAATTCTTATTAATGGAGTGTATTTAATGAGTTTTCAGAACCAACTCCTTCCCCTGCAACACAAAATGTTGATTTTTATTGGGTGCATAGAGGGAAACATGCAGATAGTTTGATTTTCAGGAGGTGCCCAGCACTGGCAGCTGCCCTTGGCTCCTGCAGTATTCAGGCAGAGAAATGCTGCACCTTTGCAGCTTGGCAAGCACAGGGTAATTCCTCCCTTCCCTCTCTGCTTCAGTTTCTACAGAAGTGTTCTGGACTCGAGCAAAAATAATGCCAGATTCTGCTTGTAGCTTCAGCTTTTTGCATTGTTAGAGTTCTAGCAAGTATTTCTTCAGCTTTTTTTGCATTGTTAGAGTTCTAGCAAGTATTTTTTAGTTGTTATTAATGTTGTTCATTGATGGTATCTGCCACAAGGTGTGACAGTACATAAACACATTTATTATCTGTCTCTCTTGAACTGTCTGCACTGCCTGGTTAGCATCTCTTGCCGCAATTGTTAGCTGCTTTTTTTCCCCCTTTTTACTTTAATGGATGCAGTATTAGATCTTTGTTAGTTACTTATGGCTGCTCTGAACTTCTTGTTACTCAGTAAAAAGTACGACTCTCTTCTGAAAGCCATTGGGAAAATAAAGCTGTAAGGTGCAATTTTAAGATTAATATTAGTCTGACCATGACCAAGAAATCACACAGCTTGAGAGGAATTTCAGTATTATTGTTATACTCTTAATGTGGGGTGGCAGAGCCTTTAAATATTTCTGGTAGAGTAGTTAATACAGCATGGAAGTTTGATATTTGTACAGTTTGTAAAGGAATTTGAGGTGTTACCCTATTTTGACTTCAGTTTTCAAGTATGCACTGGTGCATCATTAATCATAGGAAATGCAAAAATAAATAATATAGTCCCTTTGGATTTTTCATGTGAATACTTACCTTTTCCTTTTTTTGTATATACAGTTGAGGTATTTAGGTAACCCCTAACCTTTTGCTTCAACAAGGAGGTACAGTATAAAAATATTACCACAGTCTTCATATGAGCAGTTCTCTCTAAGAAAACCTCTAGATGAATATTTATTGAAAAAAAGCAAAGTTGCAACACAGAATGACTTAGCTTGGCCTGAATATTATATTTTAGACCACCAGTGAATAAAATTAAAAGCACATGGATTTTGAATAACTAGAAAAGGTTGTAATTGATTAGCACTGCGTGAAAGTATTGAAGTGGAGTGAGTTTTGATTTGTGAATGGTCCTATTCAATAGAGATTAATCCTGTATGTTTGATAACATCTTAGTGCCCCTAATGAGATAGGATTTTTTTTCCTCTCCCAGTTTATTTAACCACCAGATACTATGATATTCTCCTAACAACCTGGAACATTTTCATCTTACTGAATTTTACATCGGCATAGTTGATTTGAAGAATGTTGGCTATTAATAGTTCATTTGAGGCAGCTAATTAAACAAATCAGTGCATTTTGCTACCTACAGACCTTGTGAGTGATGAAGAGCAGTCCTGCAGGGTTTGGGGCTTTCAGATAACGGCAGCCTCCATGCGAAGCTGCAGCTTTCTTAATGCATGTGAGAATACTCATTCCTGCATAGTTTTCAGTATTATTACTGTTATTTAAAAATCCTGGTATTTTAAATTATATTTTATGCAAAGAGCAGTGATTCCTGTGATTTTGCTTAGCATTCACAATAGTATGAATACATTAAACAGAGCTGGAACATACAGAAAACTGCTTTCTGTACACAGATAACGAAAAAGGATTTGTTTCTCTCTTTATCAGTCTCCTAATTAAAATTAAACAAACCCTTTAAGATCCCCTACCGAACAGTAAAGCAGCTGAGAATTGAAATTTACAAAAGGTTTGGCATTTTTTGATGAAGATACTGAGGAGTATTTTAATATAAGCAGAACTTGAAGACTTTGGATTTACTATATATCCACTGGGATCAGCTTCCAGAAATTACGTGTGAAATAATTGATTGAATTATCAGCTAAACAGGGATCCTATTTCCTTCTTTCATTGAATTCTTCTGCACAGAATATAGTTGAAGATGCCTTTTCCTATTTCAAAATTGTAATTGTTTTTGGAGGCATTTGAGAACGTTTTCAGTCTCTGAAATACTTTGAGTTAATATTTTTCAAGTTTTATACCAAATATGCTGGGTTTTTTTTCAAATTTTTTTTTTTTTTTTTGCATAGTGTTTATTTTGAGCCTTTTTTTTCCCTTCAGATGTTATGGATGTAAATATAATAGCCTTTGCTGAAATGAATCCCGTTAGATTTAAAAGCCTGAGAAGGTTTACACAGGCTCAATGCAGTCAAAACCTGTGTATAAGTGGCACAAGGTAGAGAAAATGTGGATGTGAAACCCAGAATGTAGTTAATTAAAATGTACCAAATTGGAAAGGAATATTTGTGTTTGCATGAACTAGGAAAGGATCCTTCCACTTTGCTACTCTTGTTTTTCCCTTTCATATGAAGTCAAAAACATACAGACAAAAATGAGTGGAATAAAAGCTTTCAGGAATATGGTTAATGGCACAGATTAGCAGCCATGCGGGTTAATCATAGCTCTGTTTTCCTGCACTGTTATAACTTGTCATTATGTTTCATCAGTTCAGTTTTGAAGAGAAACAATTAAACTCAACAGTCCTGAAAGGAATAAGGTAGAGATGGGAAGAGAGGGATAGTACAGAAAGGAAGAACAGATCGTGCATTCTGAGGTGCTGCTGCATCATAGAACAACAAATTCATGAGCAGCTTGGGTATTCTGGCTTTTTTTTTAAACAATAAATTCTGCCTCCTTTTTATAAAAGTGGATTTTCCAAAATTTGGTTTTAGCTCAGGTTACACTGCTTACACATTGACAGAGCTGATGAGATTTTGTAGTTTCTTGCATCTATTGTTTGTGTGAAAGTGAAATTCAGGTATCCAACCCTATTTAGTGAAGTTCAGGAAAAGTATTAAGCACAGTATCACAGTATTTCCCAGTGGCTTTAAGAATTATCAGAAGTAGGTGAATTAAGCAGTCAGACTTGGTGTTTTGATAATTTTAGCCAACTAAATTTCTTCTAATCTCTTTTGGAAGTAAAAGCAAAAGAAAGTCCCTATACATGTAAACTGTATTTCCTGTTGTAAACACTGGGATAATGTGGTCTGGCTATGCTTCTGCTGTGCTTTGCTCCGACACCAGTTTGGGTAGAAAAGCTGCTTTGCCGGGTCTGTGTTTGCATTTCAGCTCAACGTTCAGGGTATTACAGCTGCATGACTAGCCACAGGTCATGTTATCTCATCTGGTATCTATAGGTCATATATTAAACTGGTCACCCTCCTGCAAAAAGCAATTTCTGCATTTCTGTTCCTATACCTGGTCTCAGAGCTTCATGTGCTTAACTGGGAACCAGTCAAAGTGTGTGAAGTAGGAGGGGTAAAAGACACCCCAGTCACTGCAATAATGGGGATGTATGTACTGGAAATGCTTCTAGCATTGTTGTTTTTCATAGGAGGGGGGCAAGGGACGGAAAGAAATAGGTTTAGCTATGGTCCCAACATAATTTCAACATGACGGACACCGTTAAGAAAATCTTGTAAGTTTTCACTTTTTTTTTCCCCCTAAAGCTTTCAGAATTTTCAGTTAGTCTGTCTGAACTGCCTCAGTGAAAGATGCTTTGAAAAAATTTTGTTACTGTACTTCTTGCAGTTCATCAAGTGTGATGGTAATAAAGCATTTTCCAGTACACTTTAAAATATAACTTCATTTACTTGCAGATAAATCAGTTGAAGTCGTATTTGATTCTATTTACTACTTGTGAGTGAGATGCTCTCTACTGATTTTAAGTCTCTGAGAGCATGAAGCTTTTCAAAGTAAGCAAAGACAGAGGTGCAATTTTATAGTGTATTTATGAGTTTTATGAGCATTTATATGTACAGTGCATATAAATAATTACTTCAGTATATACATATATGATTTCTTAAAGGAATCTGTGTTTACAGTTCAGAATATTGAAGTAAATATTTGGCAGTGCTCTTCTACAGAGTTTTTTACATCCCACTTTGAATTAAACTTAAAATTCAGCAGCATGTTAGATCATGTATTTTTTATTTCATAGCTTAGCATTTTAATGCGTGAATGTTTTGCCTTGTTCATAATAAGTGTTATGAGAAGAATTTGCTTTTACAATTGAATATATTATCAAACAAGCTTTGCTGTGAAATGAGGGCAACTGAGGACTAGAAAACTGCAGATTTACAGTGATAACTTCATCTGAGATATATGTGTAAAAATGAGATGCCTGGAACAGTGATAGGGCAGTTTTGGGTAGGATAGGCTGCAGTATGCTACACACTACTCGTTTTCATCAGGTTTAGAGAGCAAGCTGTCTGAACCCTGTGATTTACGTCTTTTGCCGTGTCTTTCGTTAACCACTCATAGTGGATATATCTAAAAGTGTTACCAGAGTTCTTAATGAGATTTTCTGAGCTGCTGTTTATTAACTCACTAATTGCTTTATCTTTTGCCCTGAGATAATATTAGACATTTTGCTAGATCCCATTAGGCTCTTTCAGATTCATGCAGCTACACCTTGACCCCGGTGACAGCTGAGCACACCTGCTGTCAAACTCTCAGGACCAACTTCCCTTTGCTCAGCTTGCCAGCTAACAAATTTGTTCTTATATCTGCAGAAGCTATTTACAGTTACTTCCCCCCCCAAAAAAGCCCCTAACAACCAGGTATACTATTTCAACATTCTAACATCCCATTCAGCATTTTTTTGCTTAGATAACTACAACCAGTATTGTTCTAAGTAAGAAAACTCTCGACAGTGAAAAACAGAAGCTCAAATATTGCAGCACTTACCCCAAAAGAAGTTTTGCTGACATGATGTCACTGAACTGAAGAGGCTGTTTGATGCCATAGTCCCTCTCGGTTCACGCAGAGCTTTCACCTTCTGGTGCAAATACTTCTTGGATCCTCAAACTGAAAACACAAACCATAGCCAAACCTTGTTTTAGTTTTACTGTGTCCCTGGATTGCAAAGACTCTATAGTTGGTTTTTTCTCTGTCAAAAAATTGTGTAGTGCTGGTAACATGTGAAAAGGAAGGCAACAAAACAAAAAAAAGAGAATGAGCAAATATTTGAAGGACCTACTATTACTGCATAGACTGTGGTTAGAGAGCACTTACTGACTCTGTTGGTCTCAGTGGCTGGTAGTGACCTGCGGAGATTAACCATTTAAAAACCAGAGACTCCTTTCTGTCCTCCTGGAGAAAGTTTGCACCGCACTTGTGGTTCTGTGGTTGTTTGTGAGGCGAATGAAGCATTCACACAATCCAAAAAAGCAAAAGCTTTAAAACTCCTTTTTTTTGCAAGCACTGTTACTGGAGCGAGCAAGTCATGTGGCTGTGACATCAGAGGACTCCAAGTAGGACTGCCTACACTGTGGCTTTTTCTTTCTCTCTCTCTTTTTTTTTTTCCCTTTTCTTCTTTTTTTTTCCTTTTAAAATTTTTTTTTAAATTTTTTTTTTCAATATTTTGACAAAAGGCTCATGTAAGGCCCTTCCTGGCATTCAGAGGGACATAGCTTTTTAATTTTTGTGACTCATGAGGCTTTGGAGAGAGTACAAAATGCTGTAAGAGCCCAAACTTCTGTACAGTTAAAGCATATGGACAGCAGAACTTTATTTGTACTCTCAGTTCAGGTTCCCCCCACTCTTCTTCCCCCTCCTTTTTTTTTTTTTTTTTCTTTTTTTTTTCTCCTCCCATTCCTTCTCCCTCCTTTATTATTGTGTCTGTGGAAAAGTGAGCAAAATTGGCACAAGTGGCTGTGTGAAATTCTGAACAACAGTGATGATTTACAATAATTTACATCTTTGGATTGTATCACGATCTTGGGTCTGCTTCATATTTGCTGGGTGGCTGGATTCCTTCTGTTTTACTTTTTCTCCTTGTCGTCTTGTACTTGTGAATCTGTAACTCATTGTAAGAAACTTTACCTTTCCTAAGGTCTAGTAGCAGGCTGCTTGTTGGGGTTGTGTTTTTCACTGTAATTGGCTGTCACAGAAGTGTTAGTCTGGGGATTCCTTTGCAAATCTTAAATCATGTCTGCCTTGCTTTGCATGCCTTCAAAACTACTTGGCAGTTTTATGTGATGCAAATTAAGGGCAATTATGTTTCTTTTATATTTGGGGCAAAATATGTCATTTGGATATCCTAACTGCTTGTGTGCTGCAGCCTGGGAGTGATGCTTTGGAACTCCGGCGTTGGGAGGATTTGACGTGGACGTTGTGTAACAGAGTGAGCTGGGAGGGTTTGGTTGTGCTTACCTTAATTCCTTATTATAGTTCTGGTGTTTAAGGGAAATAGAACAGTCTTAAACTTTTGGGGAGACTATAAATAACTTCATTCACCAGTTAATGTTAACACTTAGTTTTAAAATGAAACATAAATTTGATGCATATGTAAGGCTCAAATACTTAATATCATCTGTGTGCATGTGTGTGTGATATTTTTTTATATGCTTAACGTATTGTAACTTTGATTGCGTAACATAAGCCCTGACTGTACTGGTACAGAGTGGGTTAACAAAAGCAGTATTTTTTTGTTTATAATAGAGGCTTTGAAATAAATTGCAAAATGCTGTGTGTAGTAAGGAGTAATGTGCACAGACAGTGTGTATTAGTAGTCTTGATTTGCTCACTCAGATTCAGAACAAAATTGGAAACATCTTTGAGAAAGTATCTCATTTTTTGCCTCTTTGGACATTATATCTAGAACTTTTCCTATTATCCTGATTGTACCACAGATGCACTGTAATTTTAAGTTTTAGCTGAGTGAATTTAATGTTTTTCCTTTTTTTTTGGTCATTTTTTGAGGGGAGCAAAAGAACCATGTAAAAGATTTTCTAGATATCATTTGGCTTTTATTTGTAAAATAAAATACATATCTTTGATGCTGCCATCCCTCCTTTTTTGTTTTCCTCTTTGTCCTGAGCTTTCTTGGATAGAAATTGGCCAGGAATTGTGTGGTATGAATAGCTGGAGGTGTGGGTGGGAACCAGGTTCTCTGTTTTTTTGATGAGACAAAGGAGAAGACTTTTTCAGTAAAAAATAAATTGTTTTGATTTTTGTTACATAATTATAAAAAAATCATAGATATTTCTTCATAAAAACTTATTTCATAATAATTATTGTGAGGTAAACTGCATTGTTCTTAATTCAATACTTTGAGAGTTATTACATGTTGCCAAACTTAGAGAATTCTACCATAAAATGAAAAAGAAAGGTTCTACAAAAAAACTATTCCGCTTTAAAATAAGGGTTATATTTAATTCTCCTATTTATGAAGTGCTTTTATTATTGTTTACTCTGTATGGTTAAAAGCATCAATGGAGAAATATTAAGGATATCAAAATAATGGAAAGAATACTAATCTTTTCATATACAGATTATATTTGTATTCATTAAAGTTTTAATCAACTTTTGATGCAGCAAAAGCTTTTGGAGGTTGCTGCCTCTTATTTGGGGAACTCTTTAAATTCTAAGTTTGGAGTTTTCAGCTGCAGTTACACATTGAAGGTACTGATCAACTCCTATTTGATGGCAGGTATGCGCAGTATTTTTAAATAGTAGATAACTGTTGTCCTGACCTTAAATACTTTTTTCCATTGATAGGAAAAAAAGTTGTTTGATTTTCAAAACTCTGCCCTTTATTTTTAGTCATACCTTTAGTATTACAATATTGAGCTTCCTACAGAATTTTGAATATAAAAATTTATTGCATTGAAAGGCTGTTCTCACGCTTTCTCCAGAAAGGCTTTTTCATGCTTTCACTTGTGTATGCAGAGTTATTCTCTAACTTTGGATCTGATACCTTTATGATTTTTTTTAACTTTTTCACCTGTTCAAATCAAGAACGCTACAAAGAAGTGTTCATCTAATAAAGCAAAAGTCATTAAAAACAAAAAAAGCAAAGACTGTAACTGAGTAATCGAGATGTAGTTTGGAAAAACTGGTACTGATAAAAATGCAGTTTTTTTTAAATATAGAAACATTATAAAGCAAAACTTTGAGACCAAATACCTGTGAAACTGGTGGTTGGTGGTTTCTTTTGGTATAGTTTGCACTTCTGATGATGCAGATGCAAGAATCCTGAAAATCCACTGTGTAAATCAGTGTCTTGATTGTAGACTAATGCTTGACAGGCTCTTGTTTAAAGGTAGATCTGCAAAAATGGAAGTTCACTTCTGAGTTCCACAGGGGATGCTTTGAGTCCCAATTATACTTACAAAGGAAGTATTATGCTAAGGAATTTCTCTGGTAAACTTTGAGCTTGATCTTTGATGACAAATGAAATCTAAAAGTCAATTGTAATGCAACACTAAAAGATAATTACATCTTCCACTGTTCTTTAAACGTGTTTTGGAACTTTTAAGCTATGCTCTATTTCCAAACATTTTGCCTTATGTCACTCAAAAGTTCATCCAGTGTATAAACAGTGTGATGCCCTGCTGAAAGTTTATTTGTACTTAAATGTTTGCTTCTATGCTACAACTGGAATGATATAAATACTCTGCTTAGAGCAGTGTGATGACAAACTTGTTAGATTGCATTTCAATACAAGTTTTACAATATATACAATAACAAGATGCTGATTTTTATAATTCAGAAAGTCCTGGTGCAGTTTCCCCAGATGCAGGTATTCTCTGTAGGTGTTGTTAACATATCTGTTTCCATGAGAGCAGGTTTTTTGCTGTAAGTGAAACCTCTTTCCTTGGCTGTGTTTTTCAAAATGAGGAGTAATTATAATTTTTAGAGGAAGAAAATCGTGTTTTCTGTAGGTTCCCAGCCAGTACATTTAAAATACTGTTTGTTTTCAAATACTTGCATATTTTGGGAAACTTCTGTTGTTAGACTTGGGTATTTTGTAGACTTCTCATTTCCATTATCCCTGCAAGAGTAGAGGATGTTGATACCACTTTATACTAACCTTTTAAAGCAAAGACTGAAACTTCCAGTTGATTAAAAAAATTGCAACAGCAAGGATATTTCAGCATTCGTTCATTTTAAAATGGTTCTTATTGCAAGGGTAGCAGTGAGCATGTGAGTGTTACTGCTGCCTTTCTCTAGGTAAGATATGGTTTGAAGTGGATGTTGCCTGGGACCATTAATGTAGAAGGGGAAAAAGTACTGTTACCTTTCTAGGGTAAATAAGTGTTGTCTGTTTTTTCTACAGTGCAGTCAGGCTACTGAAGATCACATTAAACCTTAAACTGAACTGTTGTTTAAATTAAAAAGATGGTCATCTCTTAACCAGTGAGTACATCATGGCATAGCAAGTAGTCAAAAATTGTTTTCATTCATTTTGTGTTGCCACTTCTCTCACTTCTTCATATCATAGCAAAGTTATTCTCCAGTGAAATAATCTAGCCCCTGATCAGGCTTTGAATAAGGGGCTGCATCTTAATGATCAGATGTGTCTCATCTTGATTCTTCCTGCTCAGGCTTTTTTTTTTTGACAAGCATTTTTTTCCTTGTGTTCCTAGGTCTTGTGGACTGCACAGGAACTGAGAAAAAAGTCCTTTTGATTAGATGCACCCATTCTAAACACTCAATATATGGTGCTTAAGATTATCCTAACTTCCTAGTTATTTTCTCCTGTCTGTATTTTTTTCTTTATTTTTTTTAAGTCAACTTGCAGAAAATATGGGAAACTTGTCTCATATAACAGCTGAGGATGTGGCTAGGTTAAGGCAGGAAACTGCTACCCACAATGCAATGTTACATACACTACCACTTAATAAAATTTATTTCAAACATGCTACTGACAAAACCAAAGAAAAATAATATCCTAACTATGCTAGTTAGTACACTAAATATATCTAGGGAAAAGTGAAAGTAATCTCTCTAGAGCCTTTC